GGAAATGACCTTGTGGCATCTACCCACACCCATGTGTGTAGGACCCCAAATGATCACAATTAAATTTGACTTTTTACATCCATGTGATAACTTTTCTAGATATTTGTGTTAAATTTAATGATCATTTGGGGTCCTACACACATGGGTGTAGGAGGGTCCCCTTTGAGCTGTTTAGCGTTCCATGTAGGAAAAGCCTCTGAAATAGAAAGAGGGGCTATTGTCCACTGTGTTACTAAATTTCAAAGTGACCTGCTCAACCAAAAATTTCTTATCCGGACTGATTGTAAAGCTGCTCGAGATATTCTTCTCAAGGATGTCAAAAACCTTGTTTCTAAGAAAATTTTTGCTCGTTGGCAAGGTATCCTTTCTTCTTTTGACTTTGACATTGAACATATTAAAGGCCATTCTAATTACCTTCTCGATTTTTTAAACGCGTGAATTTTTGCAGGGGGATAGGAGGATTATTCCAGTAAACAAGGGAATGGGAAAGATGGAGGTTACTCCTGTATCATCAAATAGAGTCCTGATAAGCTCAACCTCACCAATAACACCAAATCAAACAATCAAAAAGCAGGCACAAGAAATAACTTATTCGCCTGAATCAATACCAATAGCATTATCAATTGACCAAAAAAGTAGGTTTATAGAAACCGCGTTTATACCAATGATCATAATAGAAAATAGCCATAGATCCATATGAAATAGTAAATATTTACTTGAATAACCATTTTGCATCCAAATAATGTAATCAAGATCCGAGAATGGTATGAAGCCATCCTCCTGGAAACAGGGTCAATCACAATAGTCTATTATTATAAGAAAAATACAAATATAATAGCATACTCCATATTTCAAATACGAAGAATAATCTCATATAAAGAGTGGGGTATGGAACCTTCAAAACCCAGAAAAATGCAATCTGACAGGTTTACTAATAGATATTTTCACTACTTCAAATATATTGAAGTCAGGCACGAAGTTTTCGCTTTTCAGAATAGTAATAACTCCCATACTTGGTTTTTACAAATGAAAATACCAATAATTGGAGAACTCCCATACTTGAATGAGGAAGAAATAACTTATGTAAAAGTTAGAAATATTTCATATGTAAATTGGATTGTAATTGATATATCACCGCTTTTATGTATTCTCTGTTTCGTAGTACTTATTTCTGTAAAATTTGTTTCCTTATATCTTGTTTGAATATCCTGGGTTTAGTTTGGTATCAGAGCCATAGGCTTACAGTGGTGAACTGTAATTAGAAGAACCTACTGTTCTAACTGTTAAGAACTTAATAAAATTTTCCGTCTAGATAATAAGATATTGAGACTAAAATTCGTCGTGACCTGCACTACAGTTAGGCCAGGAAGAGAGGCGAAAGGTATAGGGACTGTTTTTGATTGACTCAGTACTCAACTATTATCGAAAATGACAAATTTTATTAGGACCCTATCCAATAGAACAACTTCTTCTTCAAATAGTACATTACGAGTAAGAAATAGAGAAGAGGTAACTATAGATAACATAGAAAAACAAATACAGAATTAGAATATTCCAAAGGTTCCTGCTTCAGACGTTTATAAAGAGGGAACTTTTGATTTTAAATCTAGTTTTGCTATAAAAACTGTAGAACAGAGTATTTCTATTACTAGTGAACAAAATGGTTTTCAATTGCTTTCTGATAGAATGATACGAGACCATAAAAATAAAGATTACAAATATTTATATATAGGACTTGTCCAAGTTACGATAAAACCATTAACCCGAATTGGTTTAAACAATTATGTCCTTCTATGCTGAAGAGACGAGCGCCATAATAAATTTTTGGATTCTCTTTTAGGAATAGTAGAATCCAGCCTATGCAATGGACCTATATATTTCAACTGTTTCCCAAATTTTTCAATAGCTTTAACAGATCCGAACCTCTTGAAAGTCCTTACTTTAAATATAAAGACTCAGGGATTTGATATGAATCCAGGATCTCAAAATATTGCACTAGTTTATAGGATTTGCTACAAGGTTATGAATACCTTGTGCCCAAATGCACTTCATATGGATACTAAAAGGCAAATGGCATTTTTCCAAACCAATATGGAAAAATCAAATACAGTTATACTTAGGTCTATGAACTGGTCCCAAATAAAACTTCCTGATAAATGGTCCCGACATTATGATAACCAACAGTCTAAAACTCTGGTCAACAGAATTCCTAAATCAAATAATTGAATACCCTGACGGAGATATAGAAATCCAGTTTAACTCGAATAGGCGGACAGGAATAAACTTTTCTGAGGGTACCTCTCGAATACCTTCAAGACACTCTACTTCTTCTATACCACAGACCGAACAAGAAGAATCCAATAGAAGAACTGTAATTGAAGGATTAAATAAAACAAATAGTCATATACAACAACCAATATACAGAGTTTACGAACCCAGCTCCCCCGATAAAGAAACAACACCCTCTGATCTAGATTTTAGAAACAACACCCTCTGATCTAGATTTTAATATTCTTACTCTTCAAAAAGAAGAAAATTTTAAAATAGATAAAGAGGGAATCATGCAGGATTTTTTATCCGAAGAAAATAGAGATATACAAGAGTGGTACTTAGCAGAATTCCCTCAATAAATACTGGATGCTTTCCATAAAAGATTTAATAGAGTTCTCAGAAAAACTAAACATTTTATCAAGTTTTTTGTCTGGTAAAGGTATATTCTAAAAGAAAAGGAAATAGAAGTCCCAAATTTTAGGCTAAATACCTTAGATAAACAATATCAAACTTTTACACTCCTCAAGGAGAAGAGATACAAAGTATTCACCCTCCAGAACAAAGCCTTCAGTTAAAAGGAGCTTTGGATGATAAACCTGAAACTAAGGCTTCACCCTATAAACTCATTCCAAAAGATACCGAGCACCATTATCACAAAATAGACGTTATACCCCATATTATTGAACAAAATAACTATACTAATCTCTGCCTTCAAACCATTGGAAAACAAACAAGTAGAATAGAAAATATGAT